GAGTTTTGAAAGACCGCCCTGGCTGCGGGCCGGGGAGCGGGTGAGAGGGAGTCCTCTGGAGATGACCCTGAGGTGTCTTTTGGGGGCCACTTGGCAGGTGGTTACTTACTGAGGTGGGAGAGAGGGGGCGAGGGGTCGATCTCAGAAGGGAAGTTACTTTGGGGCCGCTCCATCAGGTCCACCTGTGACCTTGGGACTTGCTCTGGGCCAGGGGCAGCCCCGGTCTCCATCCCCTCAGTGAATGTTTGTCGGCACCTCCTGCACGCGGGCTTTGTTCAGGGAGCAAAGGAAAACCCTGTGCTCTGGGGTTAACTTTCTGGGTGAGGACAAAGAAACAACCAGCTAGTGTCATGAGTACGTGAGCCGTAGAACGTGCCAGAAGGGCCAAAGAAGAGACCTCGGCAGGGAAGGGGGATGGGTGTGGTGCCATTCTCATTAGGGCAGATGGGGTGGGCTTCATGCAAAGACTTGAAGGGGGTGAGGGAGAGACCCTCCAGAGCCTGGGAAGAGGTCTCTTTGAGGGGACAGCCAGGGGGGACGCCCTGCCCGGAGGAGGGAGCAGGTGGGGTGGAGGGACGGGAGGCTGGGGCAGGGCGGGGCCACCACGAGGACACCAGGACCTGCAGGTGAATTTCTGATCAAATGTGAGGCCCTTTCGGGCTGTGGACCAGCTGAGGCCTCATCCAAGATCTCGAGACAGAGCTGCCCTTGCTGCTGGGCTGAGAGAACTGCAGAAGGCAAGGGGGGTGCAGAGAATGCCACCAAGGACCCTGCAGGCATGGCGACTGCCCTGGCCAAGGCGGCGGGCCGGCCAGTGTGGGAAATGCGGCTTCCTGGATGGATATGGCAGGCAGAGCGCAGGTCTGCTGCTCGACTGGGACGGGCTGCAGAGAAAGAAGGGAGTCAATTCCCAGAGTTTGCACCCAAGCCGCTGGCAGGGCGGGGCACCCTTGGCTGGGACGGGGAGGATGCTGGGGATGGGCTGGTCTGGAGGGACTGTCGGTGTCTTAGTTCTTGCGGCTGTAGCAAATTACCACAAATATGTGTCCGCTCACGGTCTGGAGGCCAGACGTCTGAAACAGTCTCACTGGGCCTCGAGCAAGTGAGGGCAGGGCCGCGCGGGGAGGGCCTGCTCCTGGCCTTTTCCAGCCGCCCGAGTGGCATCCCTTGGCCCGTGGCCCTGTCCTCCGTCTTTGAAGCCGGCAGGGTAGCCGGCCCTGCCTCTGTGTCACAGGCCCTTCCTCTTTGTGCCAGGTCCCCCATGCCTCCCCCTTGTGAGGACCTGGTGATGACACTGGGCCGAGAGGCTAGGACCCTCGCCCATCTCAGGATCCTGGGCGTAGTCATCTGCAAAGTCCCCACTCACAGGCTTCAGGGATCAGGACGTCTTCAGGACCGTGCCCAGCCCGCCAGCCAGATGTGCGGTGGCAGGTGTGTTGAGGGTGAGATGTGTTGTTGACTTCCAGCGCCAACACGTGGAATGAGGTCCACATTTGGGGACAAGAGAGGAATGTCAGCCATGGACAAATGCTGTTGGGCCACAGGCTGGGTTGGGGGCTGCAGGGCACAACCAGTGACAAGGGGAAGCCGGCAGTGTGGCGTCCAGGAGCCAGCGAGGGGGGCGAGAGCATGACGCCCGACATGCAGACCGGCCAGGGAGGGCCCGGCCTCGGCGCCGACCCCTCACCCCCGCCCTGGTCCGTGGGTGGGGAAGCAGGGAGCATGCGCCCGAGGCTGGCACCCGGGCAGGTGTCCGCCACGCTGGCCGCCCCTCCTGGTGGGGCGAGCAAGCCTGCGGCTGATCAGGGCCAGGTCCACACCCTCGCCTGCCGCGGGGACTCCGGGCAGTGGCAGGCAGTGACCAGCCGGGACCAGCGTCTTCTCCAAGCCCTGTGAGGCAGTGCCTTGTCTACTCCCCAGCCCGCCCTGCGTGAGGGGCGCTGTCGCCGTGTCTGACGGAAGGGTGGATGCACGGAGGGCTCGGGGGCTGCCCAAGCCGTGCAGATGGTGAGGGCGGCTCTGTGCGCCCAGCTGCTCCTGCCACCACCACTCAGTGCTGTCTCCTGTACGTGTGCGTGTGTGCACTGCATGAGCACACGTGTGTCTGTGTGTGTGTGAATCCATGTGTGTGCGTGGGTGCAGACCCGCACACGTGTGCCCACGTGCATATGCCCTTGCTTTTGCATGTGTTTGCACACGTGCGTGTGCTTGTGCTTGCAGGGTGCGGACCCACGTGTGCACTGCATGTGTAGGCACACACATGCTTACGTGTGTGAGGGGTGCATGCGTGTGCACATGCATGTGTGCACGTGTGCCTGCCTGTGTGGACGGGCACATGTCTGCTGTGGGCAGCAGGGCCTCTCAGCCCATTCCCTTTGGTGCAGGGGGCTCTCCCAGCTTCCTTGTCGCGGCAGCTCCCTGACGCATGCCCTGACCCTGCCGGCCCCCGTCCTCGGACGTTTCCCCTCAGCCTTCTGGGTCCTCTGACCTGGGGAGATCCAAAAGGCTGGGACACAGAAACAGGAGGCAGGTGAAAAAAGCCAAAGCTGTTTATGGGGCTGGACGGTGGGCGAGAAGGTAAGGGGGCCACAGTCAGGACCGCTGGCTCGGGGGGCGGGGGCACAGGGCCATCTGGGGGAGCCACCCACCTCCCTGTGGCACGATGCCCTCCTCTCTGTGTCGGGTGCTGGGCTCTGCCGTGGGCAGAGGAGAGTGAGCGGGGGTCAGGGGTGGGGCCGGAGGCCTCCGTGCCCAGGGCGGAGTCCTGCCCTGTGGCAGCAGCGGGCGGCGTGGAGGCCAAGCTTCCCCCGCTGCAGCGCCGGCACCAGCTCTCTGCGGTTACTTCACCTGCAGCAAGAGCCCCAGGGTCAGGAGGGGGCGGGGCCCCCAGGTCAGGGCCCCCCGCCCAGCTGAGTCGGGGACCCCACCTCCCTGACCCCCACGAGCGCAGGTCCAGATGCCTGTCCTGTGCTAGGGCTGTGGGTGGAGGGAGGGGAGCCGCCCTGCGGGGCTCCCTGCGCACGGGGCGCCTGCCTGGGCCCCCCTACCTTGATGAAGGTGACGAAGCCGCCGTAGAGCAGAGCGACAAGGAAGAGGGCCGCGAAGGTGAGCCACAGGCGGCCCGTGTCCTCCAGCTCCGAGTAGTCGTCACCGCTCCCGTCCTGGCTCCGCGGGGGCGGGGCGGCCAGACCTGGGGAAGCGCCAGTGCGTCTGAGAGCGGCCCGCGCGGCACACGGTGGGCCCCCAACGCGTACGCGCAAACGGCCTGCTCCCTGCCGGGCCGGGCGCTCCGCGGAGCCCGCCGGGTCACTGTGCCTGGTGGGGCCGGCGGTCTGGAGCCAAACTGGCTCACAGCTCAGTTCATGCCAGCGTGACTGGGCGCAGGGAGTGGGGGGCACTGCCACTGACAGCGATGTGGACACAGGGGGCCCGGCCCGGCCAGGCTGGACCGCGAGAGCCTCCCTCAGAAGTGGCTGTTCTGTGACAGGGTGAAAGATAAGATGGTGCCAGCCAGGCAGAGAGAGCTGGGAACAGCGTCCAAGCAGGAGGAACAGCATGACGAGTGCCCTGTTTCAAGAGAGCCTGACCCGGAAAAGTGGACGGGAGCTCCGTGTGCCTGCAGCGGGGACCTGGGGCCAAGCGGCGGGGGAGGAGGCCAGAGTGGGGCTGGGGCCGGGCCCTGCTGGTGACTTTATCCTGAGAACAAAGGGCTTTAAGCAAGGACATGTGAAGGCCAAGTTTGAATATCAAAAAGTCATTCCTGTTGGAGTTGGAGTGGTTGGGGTGCAAGGCAGGATGAGAGGGACTTGCTAAGTGTCCAGGCCCAGGTCAACACACTTGTGCGGAAAGCGCCCGGAAGCCCGGAGGGAGAGCCCGGGGGCAGGTAGGAGGTACTGAGTCCTGGGACCCGTCTCATGCCCCGGACTTTCCTAGTCGTTCATTCCATGAATGTTTATTGAGGGTCTTCCTCGTGCTTGACCAGAGTTACCGGAAGTGGGGTCTGTACGTGGTACTGGCTGGGAACCACTGGTCACAGGGCACAGGAAATAGGTATGGAGATTGTGTGCATTGGAAATTTTTATAGCAGTCTGTTGAATCTAATAATAAAAAATCAGCACATCTTGGTTTCTGTTTGTCTCAGATTTCGAGTAATTAGTTCATATTGTATTCTGCAAAGGTATTGGTCCATGATTCATTGGAAAAAACTTAAAAGGCAGCAGCCCTTTGCCACAGAAAACTTGAAGGAGCCTGTTCTGCACCCATGGAATGCAGGGGTGAGCAGGCCGGGGGTCAGGGAGATGGGTTAACATGACGACAGGTTCCCATGGACCTGCTCCATCCAGTTAAAGGCCAGGTGTACCAGATGCCCCATGACCCAGCCCTGGGGTCAGGGATGTCTTCTCAGTTACACAGGAGAGCTCGTGTGAATGATAAGCAGAAGTTGGCAGGATGAGAAGGTGGGAAGGATTTAGGGTGGGAGGGGCAGCGTTGGGAAGAATTGCAGGTGAGAGAGGCCATGCCCATTCACCCCTCTG